GAAGTTAATATGGCGACGTGAACATGGGAGTAAATACCGTATACGTCGATCTATGGCTTGTTTAAAACCGTAATAAGCGAAGAAAGACGTGATTTGAGAATGAAATGTAAGTTGAAATTAACTTTATATGCCTCAAATTTTCCATCCTATGTTTCTTCATGTAACTTCAGCTGTCTAAGTTCAAAATACAAGCTCGCGAAATTTGACAAATTTTGAAAATATGTAAAAATAGCTTGACTTTGAACTGTATTTTCTCAAAAATAGCCCGTGGCCTCAATTTCAAATATAGCTAAATGAAAAGAAAAAACTTTTCGGCGTTTGTAGGTATAAAACATATCGTCAGGAAAATAGGGGCTCACAATGTTTTAGTTCAGTCTCTGAGACCCAGTTGCTTCGCACGTGTTGTGGTCAAATTTTTGCCAAGAATCAAAGGCCGAAATGTGAACTTCCTTCATCAAAACCGCTTCGAGAAGGGTCTAGTTTGAAAATTTAGCTATTAATTTCGATTTCATGAGTATATTTTGGTTACACGTTAAGTATTTTTGTGCTTCATGAGATTCAAAATTTGTTGTATATTCAAGCCCCGGCTTTTGTGTAATTTTGGTGATGACCGGAACAGAAATAAAAATATTTTAAAAACTGGCCGTGGCCTCACGATAAAACTTTCTACAAATGTTCTCTGTTTCATGTACTTTTATTTGATATCTTAGGTATAAGCGTAAAAATAGGGGCTCATACAGTTTGAGAGGTTGTAAAATGCATGACTTGCCTCTATTTTCATGTAAACATTCGAAATTCTTCGACAGCAAAGTAGCAACTGTTTCAGATCGAATGCACACGGACAGCCCACCAGAGACATTGGCAGGGTACTGAAATAGAACGTCACTAAAAAATTCTGTATGATTAATTTAGATCATGTCCACTCTTTCAACATAAAACAGTCATTTATTTTGTACAAACATTTGGCAATATTTACACGATTGTGCCTTTTTGTAAACACGCGTTGCGTGTATTCCACGCAATTGCGTGGCTCATTTTACTCGCACATGCTCAGACAAATTTCCCACCTGTTGGAATTCACAAGTTACACGAAGATACTAGTACAACCTCATTCCCAGGGTCTTTCTTAGAACGGCGCAAGGCGAAGGAAAGGACCCTGGTTTCGGCTGGTCATGTGTCACCCAGATTCTGGGTGATAAATTAAAGTGATACTATGGGTAGGGTGGGATTTCAACTTATAGGCTTGCCAAAGAAAGCATGCCTGGGTGCCGTGGCAATAAGCCTACAAGAAAATATATCTCTAGACCGACCAATGTGGTTTATATTTATTTCACTGTTAGTATTAAAGTATATCCTGATACTCGGACCAAAAGAATTATTTATTGATGAGATGTGGAATTGGAACAAAATAGCGAGATCTTTTGATTTCCGAAATATCGGCAAGATGCCAACTGTATCCAGATTGTTGATTATAAAGGCTTTATCAAAAAAACTTAAATCTCGTCAAATGACTATAAAATTTCCTGCAAGATCCCAACGATCATGGTATATGTCAAAATCTAGCTGTCTGTTGAAAACCTACGGTATTACAGTAAAGTCATACATCAAAGATAAGTCAAACGACAATATATTTATGTCTTTCAATGAGCACTGTTTAGCACTGTGACTGTGTTTATACCACATTTATAAATCTTATAAACAACTTTCATTTTGACACAAGCTTTAATTTTCTGCTTTATATATATTCTTAATAATAAAAGTGAGATTTAAATTTTTTGCTTTGTGGAATAGAATACCGTTATTTTTTAATGGACAGCTTGTATTGTCTTTATCATATCCAGGATTGTTTGTGTGTAAATAGCCTACATGAAGCTACATGTATCACTATGCCACTGTCAAATAAATATAGAAATATATTTGTCAATTTGAGAGCCTTGTTTTACTTAATGCTAGCGTAATGACTAATGAACTAGAAATAAACAGATGGTTGAGACACAATGAAAATTGTTAGTAACCTAGCTTAGTAGAAGTAGAAAACTCGAAAATTTATGTGTATTCGTATGACAGTTTGTGCGCATCTGACACTGTAAATTTGTCATATAGATTATAGCCTAGTATATTATGAAAACATTATGAGACCAAGAAAAAGGCTAAAGCCTTACTATAATTACCGAATACGAATTATGTACTAAATCCCAAATTTTAAAGATAAATCACTGACAGACATTTCTCTGTTTGGCTAGTATCAAATGATTACATTTGCTAATATTGGGCTCTACCGCCTCTAGTCCTATATTATAAACAAGACATGTAGTAACAAGTAAATCAGTGCAAAGCATATCAACGTTCACAAGAAAGGACAAATCTAA